AATTAGACAATTGTAAAAATCGTTTAATTTCAATTTTGAAAAATCAAATATAACTTAAAATATACTATTCATAATCAAAGTGTGTTAAATTGTTAAATGACTGCATAAAACAATATCTAAAAAATGGTACCTAATACTAGAGTGCCATTTTTCGAAAATGTGTTAAATTTTTGAATGAATACGTTATACAATAATATCTAAAAAATGGTACCTGGAGGTTCCTCCAGAGGTTATATTGTTAAAGAACAAAGTTCACACTACAAGCAACATAGAATTATCTAAACAATATTATGCATAAAGTAAAACACACATCAATTCGATGTGCGAAATGTACGAAAAATCAAATATAACTTAAAATATACTTCATATTAATCCAATTTTGTTTAAAAATATCGATAGTATTTAATGCATGTGGCTCTGCATGTGGCAGTGTTTCGAAATATGCACGATGCACCGGAGGTATATAAGGTAATAACTGCTTGATGTCTTTATATTTTTCATAAGTAATAGGCCTGGCATCTTGGTACAAAGGCGCCAGGGCGATTTTTTCAAATTTTACCGGTCTTCCAGGACGTGTAGGTAATAAATTTATAGTTTTAAATTCTTTGTCCTTCATCGATGTTTTATAGAAAATAGTGTATGGTGCACTTTTTAGAAGCCTCATCCAATATATTTGCAACCAATTTACCTGTTTTCTATTAGTGTCTTTTCTTATTTGTTTTTCAATCGCATTTTGAAGATTTTTTATTGAAACGAAATTCTCTCGTTTCGTTTCATGTAAAATGAATTTATCATGTTTTCTACATTGTGTTATTACATCATAATAATTATAATAATCTGCTGAGCCACCTACCTCTGTCAATTGGACAATATATATAAATATATATATATATTTCAAATAAAAATTGCTTGTTTTCTAAAAGGAAAAACGTCATTGTAATCGATTTTTTAAATATTACATCTAATGATATCATTCTCAGTATTAAATTTGACATAAAAAACTATTAAACAACGTACGATCTACAATGGATGTTTACTGGAAGTATTTTTAAATTAACACTAATACTACTGAGTATACTCGAATATTCGTTATAGTTCCAGTAAACTTGATTAGTTTTTAAAAACATTTCATAATAAAATTTATACCGACCATCTTGACTGATTCGATAGTTTCAGTGTTAATCATCGTAATAATATTACTCGTATATGTGTATGCACATATTAAACAGCCAACTATTTAAATCGGAACGATCGTGAATAGCTTTCTTATAACTATGATGAAAATTTATAAAACAATTAAACATTATATATACATATAAGAAGTGACCGGGGTTCAGGTCTATACAGCGCGTAGTCACGGCCCTGCATAGCTGTGGCCGGCGAGCGATGGCCGTGTGGCGCGAAAGTTCCATTCGCGGACATTTTCTTACCCTGTCCCAAAGAAAAACCGATGTCACGCTTCCCACAAGGGAGTTCCTCTTCAGAAATGTCTGCAGAATCCAATGGTGCACAGCAAATTCGTGCTGGCCAACCCACTTTTCGTAGAAATGTAACAGAAGTGCATACAAAGTACGCGCATCTACCTTTTTTTAAACTTTGATCACTGTTTACAAACATTTAATGATAGGCAAAATTCAACATTTTTATAGCTACGTGATCAGGCAAGTCTTCTTTATTTTTTGCGATAAATTTTAACTGCCTATCGTTTTCAGTTTTCACGTAACACTTGGTTTTCTGAAAAATTCGACCGTTTTTACAAAATCCCAGTTTTTTCGAAAACTGGACCTGACCCAGCAATTTGGTTTTCGGATTCGTATTTAGGGTAAGGAACTCTATAAGAATTAAATAGTGGCTATTGGAAAAACTAACATAGGTCAAAATTTGTTCCAGAGTGTTATTAGTGATGAAGTTGTTGTATCAATCACAGTTGAAAAATAGATCATAGAGCAAAGGATTAGGAGGAAAACACAATGAAAAATTACTACCATCTATTTGCATCGATATAATTTAAGTTAATGTTTTTTGTTAGTTGTACATACATGAAAATGTATCAGTTGATATGGAAGATGGAAATATTGTTTTAAGACCAGTTAAACTTATATTCTCTTTTATTATATATTTTAACTTGCGTCATGAAAAAGAATTGTCTTGAAAATAGTCTTTTCTCTAACGTTACTCTGGTCCAGCCTTTAAAAAATGTGGTCAAGGTTCGAGTTGACCGCGCCGAGTTTGTGAGTGTCTCCTAACGGTAATAGTTTACGACGGTATTGTTTCGCGAGTAATCGGTAGAACACCAGTATGAAGATTGGTTTTACCTCGTGCGTTGACTGTGGACCAATATTCTTAACACTAGGTTTACGGAACCCGTCAATTTGACGCATATTGAATTTTACAAACACTATATAGTAAATGTTTATGTCGGTTTTGATTAATGCGATTACACCAGTATGTATCTCAATTGTTTATGTTTAAACCTCTAATTTCCAAAATCTGAATGAACGAACATGAATTTTTTTAAGAGCAGTAGAATCAAGCGTACTATAAATGTCCATAAACCTAGTGTTAAATACCAAATAGCAAAAAACGAATACTATGGGTGAAATTTACACGTGATC